CTGTTAAGACATATAATACATGATCCTGCTCTGGAGACACTTACAGTCCAGTGAAGGGGATAAAACCAACACATGTGAAACAATTAGGAAACACTGCACACTGATATCTAAAGAGAGACATTTGGTTTTTTTGCCACTCAGCATCAATTCACTCTTCTGATAACCATACCCTGATTTTCCTCTTCTACCACTCTCAGTCAATGTCTTTTAGGTGGAGTGGACTCCACTCTCAACAACATAAGTAATTATTCCTCTGGCCACATGTCCTAATCAAAGCCCATAAAATATAAGGAGCTTATTGCTGGCACTTCTGGGAAAGAGGTATGCACTCTTCCACTGAGATTGCTAACAGTAAGGATTATGTGAACTGGAGCTGCCAGGAGCCACCATATGGAGCCAGAGAATGAAGCCAGCACAGAAGACAGAGCCAAGAGATGAAGCGGAATAGAATTCTAATGACATTGCTTAAGCCCTTGGATCAAGCTATGCCTTAAGCTAAATATATCACTAGTTCTTTAGTTATATGACCCAATAGTCAAAATATTCTTTTTTTGTATGAGTCAGTTTGAGTTGTGTTTTTTATTTTGTCACCTGCAACTAAAATAGTTCTAATAATTCATAAATTGGTACCAGGAGTGGGGATTAGTAAGAGAAAGATCTTAAAATGCTGAATCAGTTGATTCAGATTAGGCCCCATCTATCCTGGGCTGGGAATTCAATAGTAAAGTAGCAGGTTAAACTGGCATCTGCTGTATAGGAGGACTGAGAACATGCACCTATCAGACATGAAATATAAAAGAGCCTGTTAGTAAAAGGTCAGATCTGAGAGTACATCAGCTATCACTTTCTGGCTTTTAGTTAGGTCCTATGAGAAAGACTCAAGTTTAGGATTGACCTTTATCTAAAGCGGGGTGGGGTGGGGTGGGGGGGAATACTGCTTTGTTATAAATGATCATTTTTGCTTATAGGCTGCAGTCAAAAATGATAAAAAGAACTTCAACAATCTGGAGCCATTAAGCGTTGGAAAAGCCCCCCAAAAGAATGTTAATGCCAATAAAAGCAAGAAATGGGAAAGACTAGTGCTTGGGAGAAGTCTGAATCCACTCAGACCTCACTCAAGCAATGCCTGCCTGCTTAGAAAGGTACTAATGATCCTACTCTGCTCCTCCAGCACGGCTATGCCCCACCCCCACCCCCAGCCCCCTACCTTGCAAACCCAGTGGCTGTTGTTTCAAATTGTTCTCAGGCAGAAACCAAGATGTAGGCTATTAAGTGAGGAGAAGAGAATACAAAGGCCTATTACTAAAAGACAAAAATACTCCTATTGGAATCTAAATGCAAAGACTGCAGTTCTATATGCCCTCTGGCTCTGGAGGGTATTTCCCCTCCATGGAAATAGTCACATGCAAATAGAGACTGGAAGCTTACCAAGAAGTAAAGGAAATTGTTTTGTAAGAGAAACAAGCCTAGAGAATAAAAGCTAGGTTACTTACTCCTGTAACAGGTAATGCATAAGTCTTAGTAGAAAACAATAGATGTTTATTTTTCACTTTTGTAGAGTCCAATATCAGTACTCTTAATCAGCAGGTGGTCTTCTATAAGGTCATCTGGCTACCCAGACTCCTTCCATCTCATGGCTCTCTTAGGAGTATTCTCTAGAGTCTTTGAGTCCTTTCAGTGCAGCCACAGGAGGAAAAGAAGACCAGAGAACGCTTACCTGGCTCTTAACCACACTGTTAAGAAGTAATCCACATGACTTCCACTCATATCCCAATGAGACAGTCATATGACTTTACCAAGATTAGCAGGGAAGCTGGGAAATGTAGTCCCTGGCTATGGAGCTACTGCCTAGCAATACCTCAACATAATACAAGAGGATCCTAGCTATTTGGTGGTGAGAACTAGTTATCTCTGCCATAGCAAGTGGTCTTGCAATCCCTACTGTATCAGGAAGCAGAATGCTGAAGAGGTATAGTCCCTAGAGGATTCTCCTCCCCATGGTCCATTACAGATATGACATGGAGGAACAATGGATGAGAGATTCTCCAAGAGCAGAACATGTGGCAGCCAGATGGGCTGATCAAAGAACTTTCTCCTCTCTCATGGTAGGAAGCCTTTGCTATTCCTGTCCAGCAAAATATGATATACTTTATGAACTGGAGACCACTGTGTGATTACCATAGTCATTTTTCCAAGTATGAGTTTTCATTGCAGGGGTTCTTTTCATTTTCTGTCATTATCAAGTATTTTGTAACTAATTTTGTCATGTAGCCTTAGGTTCCTAGATCATGAAGAACTGTATCACTGCAAGATAGAGAAACATGCTTTATCCTGCTATCTTGGACTTGAAGTTAGCAGCAGCTAGACGAGACTTTGGATCATCTCTCCTTGGGGAGGAAGTGCAAACATTGTGGCGGTAAAAAAAATACTGTTTCATTGAATAGGCATAAACTTTTTTTAGGTATATTTAGAAAAATGAAGAGAACAACAGGGATGTGTTGTATGTCTGCTGTTTCCATTACCCAGGACATACATCACCCTTCCTCTGATGACCATACTCCTACTTTCTAAAATGGAATCACCTTATTGTACCATTCACATTCACTCAGCTCCTGGGAAGGGCTTCTGAATCAGACCAGGCCAACCTGAGCTTCTCATTCTCTTGGCAACAGTGAGTAGTTTAGGAATGGCGACCTGGTAGTGAGGGTAGTGTGAGCCCAGAGCTGCTGGTTCCTGATTTGTTGAGTTTGAGCTTGAGAATGAAGCTGACAGCAGAGGAAATAATCAATATATCAGGGAGAATCCAAATCTTGATGACGTAATTTGAACTCTTCAGCCAAGCCATGGCTAACAAAACTATCTTGAACTTTTCAGTTACGTGAGCCAATGAATTCTCTTCCCTGTTTAAGTCAATTTGAGTTAGATTTTATGTCACTTGCAACCACAGATCCCTACTGAATCAGTACTAAGTCGTGTGAAAGTAGATCCATAAATAAATATACACAGGAATAAATGGACATGAATATATTTGAGGGAAAGACCTAACTAAAATTAAAGGGGTAGACTGAGGAGTGGTTTACAGGGTAAGAGGGAACTTGAAAATAAGTCAGAAGAGTTTAAATTTAATGGAATAGAAAAATACAGGCATGAAATTATCAAAGCATGAAGCGATGTGCTAAAAGAAAAGATTTAGAATGATTTTTCTGGCAGTTTAGATTGGAGCGGAGTGGGAAGGAAGTCGGAAAGACCATCTCTAACTTTTTCCTGTTCATTGCACAGCACTCAGTTTGGCCACCTTGCTTCCCACTAATTCAAACTCACTAAACACTGGCCTCGGAACCTTTACCCTTGCTCTTGTCTCTGGAAAGTCGTTCATCTAGACTTTTGCGTGGCTTTCTTCCTCATTTCATTCAGATCACTATTTAAACGTAACTTCATCAAGGAGGCCCTTCTAGATCAACTTAGCTAAAATAAATGCACTGCTTCCACCTTCATCCTTGTCTGTCCTTCCATTCTGCTTTGTCTTCATAGCACTGATCACTACATGACATTATTCTGTACATCTGTTTGTTTGTAAATATATTGTCTCTCTCCCCCAGTGGAGGAATTGCAATGAGATTCCATGAGGGCAGGGATTTGTTTTATTCACTGATGTATCCCTGGAAAGTACAGCAGAGACTGGCACATAGAAAGTCCCCAATGAAAACATGTTTGATGAATGAATGAGTGAAATGCGTAACTGAGATGAAAAAACAAATCGCAAGAGGGCTGAGCTAGTCTCTTAAATTCCTAGAACATTCCTATCATTTCAGCCAAAAAGCTCCCACTTTTGCTCCACCTCCGCAAGGCGAAGGGAATTAGGGAGGTTGGCTACCGCTAAAGCTAAGACTTGGGATACTTCCTCGGACGGTTCTGGTAAGTATGCTATTTTCTCCTGAGTTACCCCGTTAAGAAAGACACATCTCCAGTTCCAGACTGGACTGGGTTCTTTCACCATCTCAGCTCCAAGCAGAGTTCTGAGAGAAAAACGAAGTGGTGAAGGCTGAAAGTCTCTAAGATTCCAAAGTATTTCTCTTCCGGAGGATTAGCAATCAGGTGAATTTCAGAATGATGACAACTTGGAGGGTACAAGAGTCACACGCCAGGCGGAAACCGGCCCCGGAGCAATGTCGGTTGATCCCTCCCTACCACTCAACTTTCTACGGGGGCCTGCACAGAAACCAGCACGCCAGCACTTCGGGGGATAGTGGTGCTTTCACCAAGTTTTCCTCCCCGGCGGCTTCTCCCCACCCGCCCCTCCCACTGCGGGCTCAGCCTCCGATTTCCGCTGATCCTGGCTGGAGGGAGCCCGGAATCCAATTACTTTTCCCAAGGGAGCGCAATCCACCCGTCTGGTCG